TTCCTACTACTGCATCACCATCCCCAGTCTGGTCGAGAAAGCCACTCGTCAGATCCCACCGCCTGCCACCCGCGCCACCTCCACCGCTCCTGAAACGGTCCACATCAGTGCAGGCCACACTGGCCCACTTGGCAACGTCACCACCATCCACTCTGCCGACAACCCGGGTTTCTTTGCCCAAGGCACACGCATTACTCACCAGCCACTCCACGACAACTACGAACAAGCCCGTATCCTACACAACACATGGAAACTTGCCAAGAACACCCACTCCATTATGCTCCACCTCTTGGCCTGGGGCCAAGGCACGAAGTTCAGAAGTGGTGGCGAAGAGCACGCCATGCACCTTTTACAGCAACAACATGGCGCAGTCTGCCACGCCAAAGCGCGCTGCTGGGTCATTCACCCGAACAACGCTATCATCAAGGGCCTTGCATGGTCCATCAACTCAACACCACCAGACATGTGAGCCACTTCCACCACCCAACATCCTCTACGCCACCATCACCAACCCGCATTCACTGAGAGCTTTTCCGACCAGTTTCACACCGTACCACAAACCTATGGCTCCGCCAAAACAGAAGCATCGAGAATTCGTTTTCATAGGCTGCGCGCGCACGCTTTATTTTCTCCACCTTTTTTCGCAACTTTCATTGTGAGTCCGACCATGTAGTCGATTTTTGAGATTTCTGACTAACACACCCTCGACAGTTTGCTCTCACTCTCCGACTTATCGAGGGAATGCGCATTTCCAGTGTCATGCTTCGGTTTTACCACATGCGGAAGTTTTAGTGACTTTGAAGTTTTGAGTAACTTTTTGAATGATCTTACCATCTTACTGCTTTTTCTTTGACCTTGTTCGCGCTGCAAAATTCGTGCTCGATAATTCGATCCGATAATTCAATTGCACGGCCCGCCCGCATGCACCCTCCGCTCATGAAGTGGTGCCGCCTGCGCTGCGCTGCCAAGCTGCCGTTCCAGGAGATTGATCACTGAAGCTTTCACTTAAGATGCATCACAGCTCGGACCAAGCTCGACTGCTCCATCGCGCCACCATTGCGCTTACACAGCTCCATCGCCTCCTTCAACAAGCAACCGACATTTTAGCCAACCTTCGCAGCATCTACCTGCTTCATACAGGACAAGTTGACGCACATTTTCAACGTTCCTTCCCACCTCTCCCTCCCCCCCCCCCCCCCACGGCAGTTCCGATTCTCTCACCTACCTCCTCTTGCGACTCAGCCCCCATTGCACCCGTTCGGCGTGCACCACCACAGCCCACGGCATCCCAAGAGTCCTCCACATCCACTCCCCTTCATTTCCATCACCAGATCTTCATGGTCACAAAGGACCTTATACAGCAAACCTTGATCAATCAAAGGTTTGCTGAAATGCCTAGCCCCTCCTCTGCCAGACATACCTTTTTCAAGGTAGTTGTGGGCTTTCCTTTTTTCTCTAGGAACTTATATACCTTTTTCAACCTTAAGGGCTTCCCCTATAGAGCTTTATACAGAGCACCTCTTGAGCCAAAACTCCAAGCAGCATGCACCCCAAAAATCAATATTTGGGAACAAAAGTTTCAAGGCAAAAATCAAACAGAAAATCAATATAAAATCTGACTATTTTAAGAACTTTTAGAGCTTATAAAAATCAAAAAATAAAATCAATCAAATCAATATATTCAATCAAATCAAAATCAATCAAAAAAACCAGAAGTTTATTGATCAGAATCAAGATTCGATGCTCAGGGCTTGTTGAGTCACAAACATGTCGACTCTGAATACTCCGTCTTTTGTCAAGATGGTTGCCCATATCGGACACGCGCGCGGTTCATGTATGCCTTCCTGGACGTCAGGCACAGCTGCCGCCACTGCCACGCCAAGCGCGGGGCTTGCAGCAGGTCCGGCCGTCCGCATGTCCAGTTGGTGGGTTCGCAGAATGGGGTTTTCCTCACTAAACTTGCTGAACAGTACCCCCATTCCTTGTGTCGACGGCTGGCATCTTCCATCGGCTATACAATCACTGCACACATGGCCGGCCATTTACAGAAATTTTTTGAATCGGTGACCCAGTGACCGCCTTGGCACTTGTGTGAATGCTCGGACGATTTTGGTTAGTGTCAGCGTACTCTCAACGGAGTGGCCTGGCGCTGACTTGAGTGGTGCGCGCATTTCACTATACAGATTTGTGCCTGGTCACGGGAAAAGGAGCGATTCATACTTCTGTTCACTGAGACTTGAGAAGGGACTGATGAAGTGACCGGTGTCTTTAATCTCAAGCTTCTCCCAGCCCTTTCGCTTTGCTCTCTTCCCACCCGCTTTGGTTAGTGTCAGCGTACTCTCAACGGAGTGGCCTGGCACTGACTTGAGTGGTACGCGCATTTCACTATACAGGTTTGTGCCTGGTCACGGGAAAAGGAGCGATTCATATATATGTGAAAATGTGCTGGTGTTAAATATGTAACTCTGCATATGTGTCGATGTAGTGCACCTACTTTTTAGAAGAACCCTTCGCTCAGGCGTTCTCGGGAAAACAAAGTCATGCCGATCACAAGTCATTTCATGTGTTCACACGAGAGCGCCTGAGAAGGTGTGTAAAACATCCAGGCGCACAACGCTGTACATGAGGACGTGAGGACCTGTTCTCCACATGAAGCCACCGCTTGGAAATGCTACGATTTGGAGTCGGGTTCATGATTTTCATACAGGGCATTCTTTTTCAGGGGCCGAACGTCATCCATTTTCCACAATTTGTGTTCTCATGTAGCCTCGTAACAATCTTGTTGCGTCGTTGCCACCCAGGCATTTTGCATGTTCGCTGTCTTAAATGTGATGACGCTCGCTGTGGTCTTACACTTTTTTCCTTTTAGTCAGTCAGTACTCAGTAGTATGAAAAGATGTTTGGTTTTGAACGTTCGTCTGTGGGTGTCGTCTTCATCTATCTTTCTCTCTGTTGCATCTCGAGGACGGGGGTGTTTTGCCACTCTGCAATAAAATCTGCTGAGCAAGACCACGAGAACAGATTGGACAATCGACAAGAGTTTCGTCAGATGATTTCTGACATTTTCCAACGGCTTGATGATGGAGATGGGCAGTTGACATTGGCGGAGTTCGAAATGATGTTTGAAAATGAAGGGATGCAAGCCTTCTTGGAAACAGCTGAGATCAACGCATCTGATGCTTGGACACTTTTTGCCAGTTTAGACGTGGACGGTGACCATCTCGTGGACGTTGAAGAATTTACCAAGCGCTGCATGTCACTCCGGGGTCCTGCACGATCGATGGATGTTTTCGCTTTGACACGCCACAATCTCAAGATACGAGATCAGTTACGAAAAGTTGATCAGAAACTGACCCATTTGAACAACCTTTTTTCACGGGATGATTCCGTGACAGATTCAGAACTCATTGCCATGTGAAATCGACGCATTTGTTACAGAAGGCTCTGCAAAGACTGAGACTTGGTGCAGTTTCACTGGAGGAGACATTTTGGCGACTTGCTGAACTCGGCAAGACCAAAAACATGCGCCGGCAGTTTGTCTTCAATTGGTCTCCAGAAATGTCATGTTTTGAGCCCGTGAGTTTCGTTATCAAGTGAAACTGGTTGACAGGAAGCAATGGCAGTCATGGATAAAGAAACTGACAACAAACCTTAAAGGTCTTGAGCACAGCACGGAATTCATTAGTAACAATTCAAAGTCCTAAGCCCTTGGAGCGCTGGTCATTGTAAAAGGCCGGCGTTCTTGCTGTCCAAATCCCTCACATTCGGCTGTGGATGTTGATTATAAATTAGGAACTAATCTTGCTAACCATTCTAAAACTACAAACATTTTTTTTTGTTGGTTTTGTTCAAGTTTATTTGTCTTAAGTGTGGGAATGTCATCCATGTTCGGGGCCCATCTCGAGGCATGGGCGAAGATCGAAGTCCTAGCCGGAAGTGGCCGCCACAGATTTTTGAGCCAAGCATTCCACGTTGGAAACAGAATGCTCGGGCAGTTGGGAGAAGCTTCATCGTGCGGTGATGTTTCGCCAACCCACTTCAAATCCTTCAACTTTAGAACCCTCCACCTTTCCATTTTGTCCAAAACAAACATTTGTGTTGAATTTCGAAGGGAGACCATGGAAGCATTTAGTAGGTTTCACCATCCTATGTGCCCACTCCCCTTTCTGGACATCTGTGAGATGCCACTCACTAGCTGACACGGGATGTCCGCGCAGGTCCTTGCATCACTCATTGTGCACATCGCCATTTGTTCGACAATCAGCACATTGAGTTGTTCTTCGACGCAGCCGTACGACTTCCCCGTGAGAAATCCGAACCTCTTCTCGCCCGACCGGAAACCTTTCGGACGACCAGGACCGTTCCTTTGGAGGATGCAGAGTGTTTGGAGTAGTAACAAGTGCATCGCTAGTAGTAACAAGTGCCTTACTACTAGTAACAATAAGAATTTAATTAGAATTGTAATTACTAGCAAAGGAATCTACTAGGACCATTTCGCGCGCGCGCAGGGGGGGGGAGGAAGCTACTAGGAACAAGTGCATGTATTCAGGTGTTGCATGTAGAGTCACTCGAACAAGAGCTGGACATGGTAGGAATAGAGCTGAAGACTCTGAAGTCTGTTTGAAGGACTGTGGCTAGTGACTATGAGTGACTATAGCTTCTTCTTTTTTTCGAAGCAAACACTAAAATGCAGGGCGGGATTTTTTTCGAGGCCTTCATGAGCACCATGAGCACCTCAGCTTTCCCTCATGGCCATCTCTGAGCACTCTGAGATGAATGACCTCACACCAGTTCGTGTCGGAAAGTCCTTCAGGCGGGTGGATTGCGACACCCCCTAAGGAGGGAATAATTGTTCTTCCTTCAAGCCTCCTTGTTTTTCTTGTGGAGATGTAAGGTGTTTGGAGACGTTTGGATTTGGGCCATGGTTCACCAATGGGGCCTTAGCTTTCTGAAAGCTTCCACATCCTGGAACCACCACGGCAAAGGCAGTACAGGTGAGCATGCGCCTTGTGCAGAGCCAGCTTACGCGCACACGCCCTGCGTTAGCCATGGCCCTGCGCGCTGCAAATTCCAACATGTTAAGATCAAAAGCCTCAGATGTTAGGGTGGAGGCCGTCACTAGTAGGGTGGAGGCCATTGCTACTAGTAGCAATGGTCTCCAACCTACTAGCAGCTTGCTAGCAATGGCCTCCAACCTAGATGTCATCCCAGGATCGATGATCCCACTTTGGTACACGCCCAAATTGGAAAACTCGCAAGTCAACTCATTGCGATTGCGCTTGAGGTGTTTGTATGCCCATTTTGTTTGCTCTTGTTGCTGTCTTGCTGTCTTGAGAGGTGCCGTGGCTCCAGAGTGGAGACTGATTTTTGCGTTCTGATTCTTCTTCCTCTAATGCATTCGGTGTCCAAGACATTTCCAAACTTGCATGCCGCTGAGGGAGCGCAGCAAAAGCCGCAGCCGCAGCCACGACAATGGCAATCGCAAGGACAGATGGGATTTGGTCTCAATGTGCAAGTCTTGAATAATCCACTTGTCAACTCAGGGTTCGTGGGTTCGCTTCTGTCGCTGGGTCGCACAGAGTTGGCCTCATGTTCATTGCATGGTTTGCGTGGCAGGTGCAGTAGATTGGCGTGGCTTGGTCCTGTTTGATTTGCGCTACTAGGAGCAAGGACTCTACTAGAGTTACTAGGGGCTCCTGGCCTTACTGCTAGGAGCAAGAAGCTACTAGGGGCTCCTGGCATCGCTTAGGAGCAAGGACGCTACTATTTGCGCTCTTGTTGTGGCTTGGCATTTTCGTGTTTTGGTCTCAAGTCATGTCGCCGCAGGAGGTCACAGTTTTGTGTGCGATGTCGTGGCACTTTGGACCTGGTTGAGGGTCAGATTTCGTGGCAGTAACAAGGGGCATCGCTACTAGCAAGTTCTAGCTAGATTCTAGGTCACGTGGTCTTTGGAAGTGCTTTGATTGCGAACCGTCTAGGCAGGACTGCCTGATGTGAACCTCGAAGTGCAGATTTCGTCGTTTGGATGTTGCGTTTCCATGGTTAGATGCAAGATAAGCCTTGATTGGAGTACGAGTCTAACACCACATGAGAAATAAGTTAATAAGGCACCATGTGCTGAACTGCATCAAAGACAATAAGTTAGCTTGGAGTATCACGAACACAACCAGCACTTCTGCAACATGCCGTGGTTGCTGTGGGTCCTCAAGTATATACCTGGGACTCGCGCGAAATACGTGCCAGTGTGGCCACATGTTCCACCAAAACTTTGCAAAACGGTTCTATGGTGTTGTACCATGAAACGGATGACTTTATTGTTAACACATGCGCTAATATATTGTTCTTGTTCGATTGTTTGAGTATGGTCTCGGTGCGCAGCGTTTTGTGGCAGATTTGTTTATGGACTTGATCGTAGCAACTTCAGTGCAAGATTAGAGCACCTTTCCATGTGCAGGACAGTCGTAGCCCAAGCCGCAACAAGAAACCAGAGGAGCCAACGATAAACAGTCGGGGCAGTGCGAAAGGAGTTTGAGAGAAGTAAAGGAGGACATGGACAGACAAGGAAAGTAAGGGGGAAGAGCTGGAGAAGAAGCAAGGAAGGCGTTGGAAAGCAATTCCAGATCTAAGGCCTTTCTAATACCGTCGGAGGGTGCTTTCCGGTTTGTTAGGACATTGCTACAGTCGGCGCTGAATCTTGGGTTTTGCAAGGCATAGCGTCCAATTGATCGAGAGGACTATGGTGTTGACACCATGAAGATTACAGACGATGACGCTGCCTTTATTCTGGGTTCTGACCTCAGGAAACTCAGCTCAGAGAGCTCAGACCTTCGATGTTTTACCTTCCCTGCCGATGAAAGTGAGACAATGGGGCTATACCAATATGCCGCAAATTGCGCCCAAAGAAGGACAGCAATTTGAACCACTCAAGTCCCACAACCCATGGGACCTATCATTGGACCATGAAAACCTTGTGAGGAAACCTATTCAGGAACCTTAGTGCAGCGGAATGCAGCTGCTCATGGACACGTTGCCAGCCGTTAGTGGGAGTCTATTTGAGGAACCTAAGATCCTGCTCCGGAATCCTCGTGAAAACTTTAGGGATTCTGGCATCGCTACTAGGAGCAAGGACGCTACTAGGGGCTCCTGGCCTTACTACTAGTAACAAGAAGCTACTAGGAGCAAAGGGCATCGCTACTAGGAGCAAGGACGCTACTAGGGGCGTGAAATGAACATGTGAGCGCCGTGATCGCCGTTTATGTTGTCAGTCGAAGATAGCTATGACGGTTTGCGGCTTGCCCCACGTTTCAAGCAGTGTTCAAAAGACATTGCACGACACTGAGCACAAACCAGCGGGACTTAGGCAAAGGTGGCAAGACCAAGGAGAAGATTTCAAAGGTGTCTGGCGCGGGACTTGGAGATTCTCAACGAACTGTGCTGTCTCTTCGCCTTCGCGACGTGTCTCGGTGCATTGTCTCAGTAGGTGCTGAAATCGAGCTCTTCGAACGTGATCTCATCTTGGAGATCCGAGGCCCCAAGCAACGGCCTCAAACTCGCGAGTAGAAAAGCAATTCTTGCTAGTTGTAAGTAGCAAGCCCTTCTTGCTCCTAGCTTCTTGCCACTAATAAAGTAGCGAGAAGATATTTGAAGAATTAGGCCGCCAGGAAAAATTGGAGCTGTGGCTGGTTGGAGATTCATCAACCCACAACTTGCCGCTTGTTGGCTAGATCCCTGTGGAAGAAGTCCGCCAGGTTGATGCACTGATGCGAATTCCATATTCTCATTCTCACAGTTAAACAATTAAGACTCCACCTTAGTAGCAAGCAACCCTCAGGTTGAAACTGCCACAGTGTTTCCTCAACAAGAACGCTTGGCTTTAAGAGCGGACGTGGCACAAGGAAGTATACCCTAGTAGCGATGGCCTCCAACCTGCTAGCGATGGCCTCCAACCTTAAGTTTCCTTAAAAGTCTAGGAACCAAATCATTAGCGAGCTATCCTGCGTCCTAGGTAGTGGCTACTTAAGCTACTAGCTACCGTTGCTACTAGCTACCTACCTCTAGCGGCCTACCCCCCCTTTAAAAATACAAGTATACCGAATACCCCAATAGCGATGGCCTTTACTTGGTTCCTCTTGGTTCTTTGTTCTCCTTTGCACCTAGGCTGATCCGGCGGCGTGCCAAGAAGTATTGCAAGGGCGTCATGGATCAACGCACCGGTCCGGTGAACGTCACACAGGCGATTGAAGATGCTAAAGCCTGCGGTAGATGAAACGGTAATGTCGTAACAAGTGCCACGCTAGTAGTAACAAGTGCATCGCTACTAGTAACAAGTGCCTTACTAGTAGTAACAAGAAGCTACTAGTAACAAGTACTCTTACTAATAAATGAGAAGATAAGTCTTTAAGTCACGACAAGTCCCTTAGAGTTTGAAAGCCACAGGAAGACCATCCGATATGTTTAGCTTATAAGTCATTGTCACTCTTCTTCGCCTGAGCTTGCAGGATCACGATGATGACGATGATTTGACGATGTTCAATGCTGAGAGTGAGAGAAACTGCTGACGATGGCTTGATGCAGTTGTGGCCTCGTCGCATACCTCCCTTACCTCATCCACTGAGGATCAGTGTCCCACAAGAGGCTGTTGGCTTCGTCACTGGAAGGTGCTGTGTCGGTCACGCTTGTTGTGTATTTAAAGATGGTTGGCAATAGTCGCTTTCATTGTCGCTTTGGATATCGGAGATCAAAATGTTGTTTCTTTGGTAAAGGGCTGGCAACTTTTTGCGGACCATCGAAGAGGAATGGTTCTTGCCCTAGCCAAGCATGATTCTTTCATTTAGGAAACGCTTCCACAAAATCAGCAGTTTCGTAAGATTTTTTCCTGAAAGTTACATGTGCTCTCATGTGCTTGCCTTGTACTCTCATGCGTGTGCTCTCATATGTGCAATCTCATGCTCTCACCGTGCTCCCTATGTGTGTTCCACAGGCGCGCTCTCACATGTGTGCTCACTCAAGGTTGCTGGAAGGTGTGCCATAAGGGTGTACAGGTGTTGGAATAAGCTGACCATTTACTCTCGGTTTGCTCTTTCTTGTGCTGTCACTCACCAGTGAATCTAGTGACCACATGAAAGGTACCTCGACCGTTCGCGCACACATGTGTCGCGGCGTAAGTCTTTCGTAAGACCCACTGTAAGAATATATAATCCATTGTGTTGGCAGAAGCGGGGTGTGACTTTTGCGCGAAGACACGAAGACACCTGAAGACACGAAGACCCGAAGAAACGCGAAGACACGAAGACACGCGAAGACACGAAGACATGCGAATACACGAAGACACGAAGAGGCTTCAGGTCTTCAAAGCTTCAGGTCGTCACTGGGCTTCAGGTCTTCAAGGCTTCAGGTCGTCACTAGGCTTCAGGTCGTCACTGGGCTTCAGGTCTTCAAGGCTTCAGGTCGTCACTGGGCTTCAGGTCTTCAAGGCTTCAGGTCGTCACTAGGCTTCAGGTCGTCACTGGGCTTCAGGTCTTCAAGGCTTCAGGTCGTCAGGGCTTCAGGTCTTCAAGGCTTCAGGTCGTCACTAGGCTTCAAGGCGTCACGGCGTCAGCAGGGCTTCAAGGCGTCAGGGCGTCAGTGAGGACTCAAGGCGTCAGGGCGTCAGCAGGGTTTCAAGGCTTCATGTCTTCAGAGGAAAGTCACCCGGGATTGCCAACACACTGATATAATCATTGATGTCTTTGTATCTCCGTCTATCGAACAAAACCGGCGCTCAAAAAGCTGTGGAGTTCAAGTCGTTCCAAGTGTCGAGTGATCTGTGATCACAGTGCCGAGCTGAGGAACACCCTCATGTTCTTCTGCGAAGTGGATGGGTCTCGCGGTCGTGGGAAGGAGGGAGATCATGCAACAGGTTCAGGCGTCAAGGCCTAAATTGCTTTGAATTGGCCTAGATACACATTGGAGAATCCCTAATTCTTTGCGAACTTTGGAGGACTACGAAAAGTTGGCGATTTTCGGCACTGCAGCGGCCTCAGACATGCAGCGCGGCGGTGCCCTCGCTCAAGCTGTGCGTGGTGCGAGGTCCGAGCTCGTCGCGGTGCAGAGTTGAAGGTCCTCAGTGCTGTGGAGACCAAAGTCTGAATCCGAGCGGTCCGAGCAGAGTTGTCATTTTATATCATACTCTTTCCATCAGCGCTGTACACCTCCATTGTTTTGTCTTTCTTTCCCAAAAGCATCTCGGATGCTTGGGTTCTCGTTTAGTCGCTAGTGCCGCGGAAGAGCGAGACAAAGTAAGCCGTGTTGTGGACGGAAGATGGGTGTGGACGGGGCTGTGGATGGAAGGAAAGGGGCGCGAGACGGGAGGGGCGTGGGTGTGGATGGGCTGGGGAAGGAAGGGAGGGGAGCAAGACGGAAGGTGCATGGGTGTGGACGGGGCTGTGGATGGAAGAAAAGGGGCGCGAGACGGGAGGCGCGGCGCATGGATGTGGACGGGGCTGGCATGGGTGTGGACGGGGCTGTGGACGGAAGGAAAGGGGTGAGAGACGGGAGGCGCGGTGCATGGGTGTGGACGGGGCTGTGGTTCGGGAGCAGGTTCCGGAGTATAGGTCGCGGAGTATAGGTTCCGGAAACGGTTCTGAAGCAGGTTCTGGGGCAGGTTCCCGAAAAGGTTTTGGAGCAGGTTCTGGAGCAGGTTTTACTGGTTCCGGAGCAGGTTCTGGAGAAGGTTCTGGAGCCGGTCCCGGAGCAGGTTCCGAATGAGCAGGTTCCAGAGCAGGTGCTGGACGAGGTTCCGGCAGAGGTTCATCTTACGTTGGAACCTTCGTGGTCTTCGGCAGGGTCCTTCAAACAGAAGTGATTTTTCGTGGCAGGCGCAGGGCTGGGCGCAAGAAGTGCGGATTTCGTGGCGCAAGGGGGGGGGGTTGTGGCGGGGGAAAAATGTTAAAAACGTTACTTCAAATAAGTTTTCTAAACTCAGTTTACAGCAGCATAAGAAAAAGAAAACCTATTCACCCAAAAAATCACAACAGACTACCACATATAACCTCATTCATTGTTCAAAATCATAACTACTAACCATCTGGTACCTCATTCATTGTTCAAAACCATTACAGTGAATACATATCTATCTCATTCGTTCCACAAAATCATCACTACTAACCATCTATTACCTCATTCTCAAAAATCATAGCTACTAACCATCTATTACCTCATCCCTTTTATTGAAATCATAACAGTCAATACATCATCACCTCTCCATTCCATACTCAAAACAAAACAAGCAAGCGACAAACAAAAACACAAACCAAGCAAAGAACAACATTGAAAAACAAAACGATAGACAGCAATATGGCATAACCCCAAACTAAATGACACTCCCTCTCTCATAATACAGTATTCAATGTTGTATATCTGTTTCTTGATTTCAAATGTCTTGTCATTTTGAGACAAAGTCTTGAAATCTTATATTTGTTTTGTATTCTCTTCAATGCTTCACTATGTTTTATTTTCACATGTTCATGTTCTCCATAAGAATATGATACAATATTACTTAACACATTTACTGGCAAGCCCTTCATACCATCCATCCACTAATATACTTAACTGACTAACCTTTAAGTAAGTATTCTAAGGTTAATATAAGACATTCTTTGGAAAAAATTACTTAAAGGTAGATTAAGTAAATAGAATATATAATATTATCTGATGAAAAAGTTTTAGACAATCTGGTGAGTAATGATTTAGCAGAAATACCAAAAAAGATGAAGAAACGAATTAAAGCCCATAATCATAGATGAAAAGAAATTCAGATACAACACAGACAAACCCATATCAAATGGTTTAACAAAGAAATTATTATCAGTCACGAAAACTAATGAATACATAAGTTATGCTTTAAACAAGGCAAAGGGTGCTTCCAGTGAAGGAAGTGTAAGACAAATACTGACCAAACACGCAATCAGAAACAAATTTAGGGTCAGAGATGTTCAACCAGCATTTAGAGCATATGCTAATTCAATAGCTTTAGAAAATACACACTTTGAAGGAGAAAGAGGTTTAGGCATGATTGCGCACCAAAAACAAAGACTATTATAATTTTTCAGAAATAATAGAAGCGTGAAACTTAACATAAGAACAGAAGGATTAATCCTGAATATGATGATGGAGGAAATGAAATTGGTAGTCAAGAACTTGTATATGCTACTTTACCATCAACATATTATCCAATTCATAATGAGGATGAACTGACACAAGCGTTAGAAGATAGTGTTATAAACAAATCTTACTACAAATACAAAATCTTGAAGCATCAACCTCGAATTTAAGGTTTAAACAGATAATATCAGTCACCATTCACTATGACAAATTTGACCCAACAAGAGCAGACAGTTTTATAGAATTACCAGAACGGATTAAGTTAAAAAAAGGCATGTATCAACATTAAAAACAAAGACCAAACATGCTTCAAATACTGTATTCAATCCATAGTCTTTGGCAAAATAAGCAAACATCACCCAGAGGAAATGTTCCACTATAACAAATTGAATGATTACATTTTGAATTGGGGTGGAAAAAAATTTCCAACTGGTAATACGGACATAGCAAGATTTGAAGAAAACAACAAATTAGTTTCAATACATGTTTTTGAAACTGATGACTGCCTTAATGATAATAAGATTATCATACGTAGATGAACTAAAAATAGAAATGCTAAATATGAAGCTGATTTATTAAAAGTCTATGATGAAGATAATAACTATCACTATGTATTAGTGAAAAACAAGGTTTCACGTCCGTACGGGCCCCCCGTCTTCGTGTGGGCAGGCCCATACGAAATGGCGTTTCGAGCGTTTCAAAAGTCGAAAAAAAGTTGTATAGTGGCCTTTTTTCAGCCGTGGTCGGCACGCTCTCAGGTGTTTCGCGTGTGGTGGCGATACACCCACTGATACACTCTATTCCACAGCCGTGGGTTCACCAATCCTTTGGACCGGTTCTTGCTTTGCGGCGAGATGAATTTCTTCGTCCACGACCACAGCCAATCTAGCTGCTGGGTGCCTCTTAGTCCATTGACTCTTCACATGCTTGACGTGTTTCACAGTCAAGCGCTTCGAAGGGTACTTGGCAGCAGCGGCCGACCATGCAAGTGCTCCATCTGCACACAACAAAGAACCTGCTCGAACATTCCGAAGCAAGCCTGAGGTCACTATCTCAGCACATAAAATAAGGTTTTTTACTTTTACACCGAGAATCGGGTCCTCCCGCGAACCAGCGGCCCGAGATGGTGTCTGCGGCGCGCTCTTGTCTGACATCCGGCTGCCAAACTCCAAAAAGACAACGCCCGACGAACACGTGACTCGACGAAACCACGAACCGACGAAAACACGAAACGACCCAAACACGAACCGACGTCATTTGCCCCCCCCCCACCAACCCCTGAATGATTGTTGGAACCCTGTCTGCTTCAAAAACGCGCAAATTCACGGGGGCCCGTACGGACGTGACACCAAAAACAAAAGTAGATTGCTTAACTGCGAAAGCAATAAAAATATCTACCAGAAACACTACTGCCATCATTGCTTAAACCCTTTCTCATCAGAAAAGGCATATAAGAACCATCTTGAAAAGGGATGTATGGCATCAGAAGGACAACAAACAAAGATGCCTGATAAAGACATATAGAATTTGAAAAGCGGAATACTAAATTGCCTTGTCCTTTTGTAATCTATGGTGTTTTTGAATGTCTAACCACTAACTCTAACAATGGTATAAAAGGCACATATCAGGAACATAAACCGTGCGGTTATATGTCGAATGTAGTAAGCAGGATTGATAATACATGCCAACCATACTTTGCAGAGGTGAGGATTGTATGAAGCATTCTGTTGAAAAACTGACTGAAATTAAGAAAGATATAATTGAAAAAAATGAATGTAAATAAACCAAATGATGAATTAACTCACGAACAAAAGACAGAATTTAGACAAGCGACCCGCTGCTCCATATGTAATAAGGAGTTCCAACCTGATGATGAGAAAGTCCGCGACCGCTGCCACTTCACAGGTAAATACAGAGGCGCAGCGCATGTAGAATGTAATCTGGATTGTTCATTTAGACGGTTTAAAATCCCTATCTTCTTTCATAATCTTCAAAACTATGACGCACACTTGATCATTGCCAGAGCAAATGAACTAAACATAGAACTAAACCAAAACAAAAGAATAGATGTAATAGCACAAAACAGTGAAAAGTTCATAACCTTCTCATTTGGTGCTTGTCAGTTTAAAGACAGCTTCGCTTTCTTAACTGCGTCATTGGATAAGTTAGTTAGATTAAGCAAATATGAAGGAAATCAAAAGATGAAAGATTGGGAAACTCGTTTCAGATATACAAGCACCAACCCATATATCAAATCTTAAACTGATTTGAATCTGCTGACTGATAAGGGTGTATATCCATACGACTATATGAACTCATGGGATAGATTTGATGAAACAAAACTACCAAAGAAAGAAGATTTTTACAGCAAATTATATGAAGAACACATAACTAACAAAGGCTACACCAGAGCAAATATTGTATGGAAACATTTTAGCATTAACAACCTTTGAGAATATCATGATTTGTAGTTGATGACTGATGCATATTTACTGACTGATGTGTTTGAACATTTTAGGGATATGTGTTTGAACTTTTTTGGATTAGACCAGCAGATTATATAACTTTACCTAACTATTCTTGGAATGCCTTTTATCATTGACAGGAGTTAGACTACAACAAATACACATAGAAAAAATTATGAGATTATTGAACACGGGTTAAGAGGAGGAATGACACTGCGCTCCTTTGAGAAAGTAGAAGCAAACAATAAATACATGAATGAAGACTATAACAAATCTAAACCTTCATCGTACATAAGTTATATAGACGCTAATAACCTTTACGGATTAGCAATGTGTAAGAAACTGCCATATGGTGATTTTAGATTGTAATACGGTAGAATGGATGAAAAGAGAGTAATGAAATATAGTGATGATGATGACGTAGGATACATTTTAGAAGTTGATTTTCATTATCCAAAGAACTACATGATGTACATAAAGACGATCCATTAGCGCCTGAAATCATGAGTATCAACGAAAATACGCTTTCAAAAGTCCAGAAGGATATACATAATTCTTTTTATGGAAAAGATGCCAGTGATGAAAAAACAAATAAGTTAGTATTACATGTAATGGATAAAAGGAAGTATGTTTTACACATATCGGCATTGAAATTCTATCTGCAACACGGACTACGTCTTAAAAAAGTCTATAGAGCAATAAGTCTCAACCAAGCACACTTCTTAAAACCATTCATTGAATTCAGCACTGAAAAGAGAAAGAATGCCAGCAATGACTTTGAAAAAGATCTGTTT